CTCTAGACGGCTTCTGAAGTCAAGATGGAGTTCGAAACAGAAAGCGAAAAAACAAACGAATTAACCTATTTTGAACCTTGGGGATGAAAATCTCGAAGTAAGCGATCGTAGTGAGCAGTTTATGATCGAGGCATCAGGGGACGAAAGCGAAGACGTTTTATCGCAAGACGATGCAACCGCAGAAGATTCATACAACTTTGATGTGTCTGCTGCTCAGCCTGGTCTAACGGAAATACAGTCATGCAGACGAAATAGACGCTGAATTCGCCAAAGCTATACAAGAAATTGATGCCGGAGAGTTTTTTCTTGTAGTCAGTGCGAGAAAATGTGGCTTGACAAGGCACACAAGAGGGCTAAAGGGGGCTTGACAAGACACACAAGATCCAAACACCTTGAGAGGGGGCGTAGGAAGCATCAAAAGATTGGGGTACCGGCTTCTAGGGGCACTTTAGGGTATTGAAAAGGGCAAATGTTGGCTAAAAAAATTTCCTGCCGTACCATACCGAAATTGCACGTTTTGTACCAAATTTTTTAAGGGCCCCTTTGATGTTAATTTAGTATTTACAGCGGCATTAGCTTGTACTAAAAGTGCACTTTTAATCACAAAACGGGCACTTTTCTTCACAAAAAAGGGCACTTTAGTCCTTTGAAAAATGGGGGAGGGGGGGGGGGCACGTACCCTCTGTGACCCCCGGTTCCTACGCCCCTGTTCAGCGATATTTTGCTAATTTTAGAAGTGGGGGACGCTCTTGAAAATCAAATGGGCGTGGTCACTCGATTGGGCGTGGCATCATGCATAATCATTGTGAACAAGTACATACGCAATAGCTTAATCTTTGAAGTGGATTTAGTAGAACATGATACTTAAAAACACCTAGCTTGCTCCGCGGTAGATGTCAAAAAGCAAATAAAACCACGCTGACTTTCGAATTTCGATTGTGCAATTAGCGCTACGGGACCATTGAGTATGCGGCAACTCGGCAAGCAGGCAACTTTGCGAGTTTAATTAATTAAATATGACGTTTTCGCGAGTAACTAAATAAGCTTAGATAATAGATATCCTTGAATTTTCCCCATTTAATCATGTTAATGTTCTTATTGAATCATGTTATGTTGCCCTTGATATTTTATTGTTCATTTTAATGTTTAACTTCGCGATTGCGAGAAAGACTAACGCCCGTATTGTACAAGCTCACTCACACTCAATTAGTGCATGGAGGTTCAATATGAGCTTCTCTTGAGTGTCAGTGCAGTTTTTGAACAGCTGGAGGGTTAGTGTCCTACTTTACTATGCCACTACTCACCCTCCAGCTATTCAACAACAGCACTGACACTCAAGAAAAGCTCAGATTGAACCTCCACTCATTAAGTGTGAGTGAGCTTTTAGAATACGGGCGTATATATACCAATTATATCCTGCTGGGTCTGCAAGTATATCAAGTTTCAGGGAGGTTAAAATAGTGACAAAATTACGTTCTGAAGTATTTCTACGTAGTATGCGGAGCAATTATTGCCAAAAATAGGCTAATAGCATGCACGTATGTAGTACAAGTTGTAGCCAAAATTATTTGGACGGTGTCGAACGGCGTTCACTGAACTTCACTCATATTTAATCCATGCTAGGAGGAACGCCGTTCCCCCATATTTGATTTTGGCAGGGGGGCACCGTTCCCCTGGTAAAAAAGGTGGGGGGACGGCGTTCCCGCGCATTCCCCCTGGAAAATATCACTGCAGTGATGATCAACAAGATACTACTCGTAATGCGTTGACTAAAGAGGCCGTGGCTTCGATTGTTGAATCTATAAACGTCAAACTTAAGGCCCATTTACACGATACGATTAGTTGTATACGATTGTCATTCTGACGAATGAAAACGAGTGCCTCTGAAAGAAATTTCAGCAACTTTCAAGATCCCAACATGCAAGTCGCTGTATGGGGGTATAACAATCCCTCCTCTTGTTCGAACTGAAATGTATATATAGTTGTTTGTTTTAATCGATTTCATAGCGTGCAGCAAAGCTTGCAGTCCTTAGTTTGCGTAGTTTCCTCAAATCTTTTTCTTGTTAAACGGAAACAGTTTACTTATAACGTAGACTTCAATGATCTGGTTTCTTTGCACTTCACTTGGTGGTATTAATATTTGAATACTGTTCTTGGGGTTTGTAATCCAAGTGAGTATATATATACATTTTAAGACCTGACCTGGAACAACTGCGAAAAATGCAGCACAAGGTCCTCTGGTAGGAATTGAATTTGGATTACAAACCCTAAGAACAGCATTCAAATATTTATAACGTACCCCGCGACATACACCGATAGAAAAGAGATCCACCTTCAGCTGGGCTAGTGTTGTAAAATAAAAAAAAAATGCTCAGAAATATGGATCATATAAGGCCCATTTACACGATACGATTAGTTGTATACGATTCTTACTCTGGCGTATGTGATCGAATAAACACGAGTACAAACGTCACATTTCAAATTTCGCCATCAGCGAATGAGCAATAACGTGGAATTGAGAACGGTGGTGGAAACATTAGACATATTCCAGCAGAAACGTACATTATAAAATAACATGTATATAACGCGTGTTCTGATTGGTCGAAAGCCGTGTTTGGATCAGGCCATCCAAACACGGAAGACTATCATGTTGTTGTTATTTTATAAAACAATTACTTTATGGTTTCCGTGTTTGGATGGAATGATCCAAACACTTGGGAATGTTGCTCGAGTTAAGAAAAGCGGGCAAAATCACTCGCCTTCGGCTCGTGATTTCGCTTGCTTTTCTTAACCCTCGCAACATTCCCGCGTGTTTGGATCAGGCCATCCAAACACGGAAACCATAAAGTAATTGTATAGTGATGCTGCACTGAAGTCTCCAACGGTTAACAGTCAAATCATTGTGGAAAAATATTGTATTTTCGTGTGAAGTTCAACGTTCGAACTCTATACACAGAAAATGTGCTTGGAAAATATATAGTTAAAACTCATAGCATTTTCCTACACCAGAAAGTTTATTGCACTCACAAGCAAACACTCATTATTTGTATAAGCTGTTGTTACCAGTGTTGTAACGAGTCGAGTCATTGACTCTGACTCGAGTCAACTCGAGTCGCTATTTTCAGCGACTCGACTCGACTCGAGTCCAATACGAAAAATGACTCGACTCGACTCGAGTCAACAGTCCCAAATGACTTGACTCGGACTCGACTTGCTGATTTTGCCGTAAATGACTCGAGTCAACTCATCTACAACTTCTACAGAGTAAATTCATCACAATTATTGTGATTGTATTGCTTGGGAAGAACAATGAGCCCTGTAAAGAATGAGAACTTTGAAACTTTATCAGAAAATATATGGGATTTACATAGAATATATTCCTGACGGGCATACCTACATTACATTTCTGTTTTTAGAAACAACGCTAGTGCCACAGTTTTTTAAAATTAAGTCTCAAAATATTTTGTACTTATACTAATTCTGACAGGCTATTTTCATTTTTGGTATTTATGAAGGGCTATATAATTTCAAATCGACTTGCAAAGCGTTGTTAATTAAAGTCTATTCTTTGTTAATTCTGACTTGTATGTACGTACACTCAATCAGCAGGTATGATGAGACATCTCACGTGGTTGACTCGAACTGTGATATTGGCACAGCCTATAGCTGCCCAGATACTGTTATTAATTTAAATGACTAAAGTAATCAGTTTAAAACGCAAATTTGATTACTAATTTCCGACAGCAAGCTGGAGTAGCTCAAGTAAAGTCTAGAAATTGACTCGACTCGACGTAAATCAGTGACTCGACTTGACTCGAGTGAAGCCGCTGACTCGACTCGACTCGAGTGAAGCCACTGACTCGACTCGACTCGATCAAAAACTGAAATGACTCGACTCGACTCGTGACTCGACCTTTGAGTGACTCGACTCGACTCGTGACTCGACCTGTAGGTGACTCGTTACAACACTGAGAATTACAAATATTTTTGGTCGAACATCATTGATCAGGTGCATAATAAAAAAGTGTTTGTGCTCAATTGTTGTAATATTTGGGCGCTGGCCCGCACTTTTGTTAGTGGGGTACTTGTGCACCCATACAGCCTCCCATTTCTTACGTCACTGTAGGGCAAGAATAATGCTTCTTTACATAGAGAGAACTATACAGTCTGTCATTGAACTTGAACGCGATTGACTTGTATACCTAGTTATGAGCCTGACTGTAAGCAACAATTGGAAACATCGCCTAGTCAGTGGAAACAATTTTTCGCTCCGTGATTTCAGATAAACCAGTGCGCCGTTCACTGATCAAATTTCTTGATTGCAGTAGGCACATCAAATTACTCTTTGGTAACAAAATGCATATGCATATCGTGTTACATATCACATATGAACATGCTTCCTAATATAACTCGGCTAGAAATTCGTTTTTGCACTTTACATCTTAAAAATATAGTTTAGGGGCCTGGAGAAATATTGTAACTAATGTTAGCTATTTTGATCGAGATTCATCGCATTTTGCAGTTCTGATTTTGGGGGTTTGAAATTTTCGCTAATATAGAATATCGCCCGTGAATGACCTTGCAGAACCTAAATTCCAAATAAAAGTGCCAACACGTAATCGTGACATATAGATATCTCCATGTTTGGAAAGTAAATGGAAACTTCATGCCTTTGCGCGTGTTTTAAATGATAATTCGTTCATAAACTCGCGAAATAAGTACATAATATTTCTTCATATTACTTCTGAGCTGTTTGATCCGTTTGAGCAAATTTCCAATTCAATACTCAATACTCTGAGTCTATCTCGAGTTTCAAAAATATTTAATTTGCTTCGCAAAGCACTGCATGTAAACAAACGCATAATTTTGAGACCGACTGGATCATTTCTTTGGGGGGGGGGGTGAACCCCCCCCAACCCCCCAACCCCACATTTACGCCCCTGGCCATAACGCTACATTAACAAAATAATTTATATAAACTCACCATTATGAACGATATATTAATTAACTACAAAATAATTTTATATAAACTCACCTTTGGAACTATATAAAGCAAATTTGTCATTCAGAGCCGTGATCTGACTTTCCAATTCTTGTTGTGTAGTATTTAATTTTTGTTCAAACATTTGGTTCTGATGTTCCAATTTCTGTTCTGTGTTCTTTAATTTTTGTTCAAAACTTTGCTTCTGATTTTTCAATTCTTGCTTTATATTATTCAATTTTTCTTCAAATATTTTGTAAACTTGTTTTTCATTTTTAATCTATAAATATGGATAACGGCGCATGTAAGCCCAAGGTACTTTCAGAACATGGATATACAACAAGAAAAACCAGTAGAGAATCAATATAATAGAGGACAATAATCAAGATATGCAAAACTATTGCTGTGGTAAACATGTTTTCGCCTGCTACTCTGATTTGAATGTATACAGGGCCGTACACAACGGGGGGGGGGGGCAAGGGGGCAACTGCCCCCAGAGAAAACTATATTTACGATTTTTAGAATGTCATTATTAATTATTCTTTGGATATTTGGGTCCTTTTCGGCATATAGGCCTTACTGCCCCCTGGTAAAAAAATCCTGCTTACGGCCCTGAATGTATATGAATGCAATCTTCATGATCAGTCGAATTACATTCACGACTGAGCATTTAGACACTTGCCTTGCCGGATCAGGGTGATAAAAAATTACTGACATCAAAATTAAACTGATTGCCGAGAAGGAACAATGCCAAATTATTGCAGTCTACTGTATATATATATATATATATATATATATATATATATATATATATATATATATATATATATATATATATATATATATATATATATATATATATATTAAGATAAAAATGTTCTAGAGTGTGTATTATATAATTTCCATACCCAGCGCAAGCAGAAAGATGTTGTCTGGCGCGGCTGGGTCTTGAACCCGGGACCTTCGAATTACACAATATATATATATATATATATATATATATATATATATATATATATATATATATATATATATATATATATATATATATATATATATATATATATATATATACAGAGTGTACAATTACACAACTAACATATATATATATATATATATATATATATATATATATATATATATATATATATATATATATATATATATATATATATATATATATATATATATATATATATATATATATATATATATATATATATAT